CACATCTTTAATTTGTTTTCCATCCGATGATTTTCCTTGCTGATTCTTCAGTTCTTATTAGGGAAGGAAACTCTTGCCATCTTAATTGGATTGCCTGCAGACTGAGAAGTATCTACAAAAGTATCCCATTGCATAAATTGAGAGCAATGATTGACAGTAAGTCAAACATGACAATAAGACTTTTCTCTAAAGAAGTAGTTGACTGCCCATTTGTAGAGTATCATGCTGTTACTAAGTAACGAACAAATATTAAATCATAAGGTATGTCAAGAATATATAAAAAACATTCAAAAACTCAACTGTTCAGAGGTGTCCATTTAATATTGAGTTTTGCTTCACTGTTTTTTTCAGTAGAATCCTCTTTCCAAACTATTATAGGATACAAATCAATATATCTACTGTAAAACTCATATGCTATATTTTTGCTTATTCAACTATGACTTCAGTAATTGCTGCATAGTAACTATACCAAAATATATATATTTTTTAATCAGTACTCAAAGGAAGCACAAATAGAGAGCGAAATTGCTTAAAAGAATATTCTTTTCAGAGTCTAGTAAATTGATCTCAAGGTAGCTTTTAGCCTGCGATACACTATTTATTTCCACTCAGAATTAGTGAACCATTTAGTCAATGATCTGGCTTTAGGCAGACAAATATAGATCATTGTTTCCCAAAAATCATGAATTAGTGGGGGATTTTTTGTTGTTGTTTGCTAGTTTTTTAATCCTCATTCCAGGGACATTTTCCATTGATTTTTAGAGAGAGTGGAAGAGTGAGGGAAAGACCCATTGACTTTTAGAGAGAGTGGAATAGGGAGGAAAGACAGAGAAAAATATCGATGTGAGAGAAACACATAGATTGGTTGCCTCCTTTATGGGCCCTGACCAGTGCCCGGGCCGGGCAAGAGCCTGCAATCGAGGCATGTGTCTTTGACTGGACTCGAACCTGGGACCCTTTGGTCCATAGGCCAACACTCTATGCACTGAGCCAAACCAGCTAGGGCAGCCGTGGGCAAACTATGGCCTGCGGGCCGGGCCGGCCGTTTGAAATGAATAAAACTATTGAAAAAAAAGACCGTACCCTTTTATGTAATGATGTTTACTTTGAATTTATATTAGTTCACACAAACACTCCATCCATGCTTTTGTTCCGGCCCTCTGGTCCAGTTTAAGAACCCATTGTGGCCCTCGAGTCAAAAAGTTTGCCCACCCCTGAGCTAGGGCCTGAGATCTCATTTTAAATCCTTTAAAAGTTAGGATGTGATCCAGCCAACTTCTTCTGGTCTGCTGTAGCCACCTCCTCTCAAGTCATATAAAACCATGAATAGTTTCATGTCTCCAATTGAAGACTTAAAGCTCCATCCCTACGTGTCTTAGTTCCATGTAGACAGTGCGTTCCTCTTTGTGGCCCAGCATTCTCATCTAGGAAGTGGGGACAATATTACCTAGAAGGTTGTAAAGTCTGAATGAGTTATTTAATGAGCAAACTATACATAACAGTAGGCACTCAATAAATATGACTATTATTATAATTGCTACACAATAGAAGAGGCTTATTTAGGCTCTGAATATTTTGTGGAATTAACTTTTAAAATTAAGTGACATCTAAAGCTGAAATTCATAAGAAGCAGACTGGAAGGTCCAGGCCCCTATTTCTTTAGAGAAACATCAAGTAAACAGACTAAAATGGCTTTGTTGGGGCTCTTAAAACAGTCAAGGATCTGCAGCAACCAACAAATGCCCAAACAGCTAAAGCCACACTCAGAATGGTAGGGCATGTGATGTTTGTTTGTGTTCACTTTTAAAAATATATATATATTATTGATTTTTTACAGAGAGGAAGGGAGAGGGATAGAGAGTTAGGAACATCGATGAGAGAGAAACATCGATCAGCTGCCTCCTGCATGCCCCCTACTGGGGCTGGGCTCACTTTTGCACCCCCCTTCTCTGATGTGGTGTCCCAGGGTTGGGAGGACGTGTTGCCAGGTTCCCAGCCCCTTTTTGGGACAGAAGGAAAAGAGTGAAATTTATTTGCAATATTCAGTGGGGAGTGAGATGTAGCTGGAAATGAATTTACTTATTTATTTATTTATTTATTTATTTATTTATAAATTCCCTAATAAAAAGTAATGTTGAGTATCTTTTTGTATGCTTGTTTGCTGTCAGTGTGACTCTCAAGTGAGATGTCTGTTCAGAATCTTTTGCCAATTTTCTAAGTGGGTTGTTTCTTTTTTATTGTTGAGTTTGAGTCCTTTGTGTATTTTGGATATGTCTTTTTTTTCTTTTCTTTATATATCTTTATAATTATTATTATTACTAGAGGCCCAGTGCATGAAAATTCATTCACTGGCGGGGTGTGCCTCAGCCCGTCCTCCCCCCTCTCACAGTCTGGGAGCCCTCAGGAGCAGGAGGTGACCCGGCAATCAAGGAAAGGCAACACCTTATCAAACCTCTGCTGCTGCCACTGCTGGCTGCAGAAGCCTAGGCTGGCTCTGGTTACCTGAGCCTCGGGTGGCACTGAGTGGCTGGGCAGCCACCATCCGAGGTGGCTGGGGGGCTGAGGGGACTGGGGGACTCCAGAGGCAGGCCTGGCCTTGCCACACTTTTGCTGCCCCGGCGGGCCTGAGGGGACTAGGCGCCACCATCTTGTGGCTGTGGGCATCGCCATCTTTGAAAGTGTGGCAGTCAATTAGCATATTCCCTCCTTATTGGCTGTGGGCACCACCATCTTTGTGACTGCATGAGAGTCGATTAGCATAGTCCCTATTTATTAGATAGGATTATTCAAATTTATCTAGGAATATAGTTTTTATAAGCAATTGAAGTTAAGTTATTAGATTAAAATAGATTTCTATAACTTTAAGACATTATATGTAATATACACAATTCACAGAATATACATAGAAGGAAATGAGAAGAGAATCAAAACATATCCTACAAAAAAATCTACAAAACACAAAAGAAAGCTGCAAAAGAGGAAATGAGGAACAAAAACAAAAGCTATGATATCAAGAAAACAATTAACAAAATGGCAGTACTAATTCCTTCCATATCAGTAATTGCTTTAAATGTAAGAGAACTAAATTTCCCAATCAAAGACAAAGATTAGCAGGATCTAACTATATGCTGTCTACAAAATTATAGAATTAATAAAACCATTTTTTGCAATAAAATGCTAACAATACATCAGTTTATATAAGCAAAACCATATTTACATTATAATTCAAATTTAAAAATAATTATTCACTTATTCATTCAATACTAGTTAGATCTTATTATTTCTTAGGCCCTGTTCTTAGACCACAAGGATTCAGGCAATATAGACACTTATGAGCAGAAAAGGTTCTTCTAAACAAAAGGAATTCTTCAAATTTCTCATCACATTTTCCCTCCCTGAATCTTAGCACTGAAAATGGTTTAGTGTACATTTTTCCAGCAATTTTTCCCTGACAGATGCACAAAAATGATCCTTTGACTCAGATCCCTCAGCCCACTAGCTACTTAGGAAGGAATTAGGGAGGGCTACAAGGTCAGGCTTAATTATGCTAGGAGAGCTCTGCCCCCCAGGCTGGGACTTTGTGGCCCTGTCACAGGTCAGCTCTAGGCTTGACCCTAGAGCCGCTCCCTACACATATACATGTGTGTCGTACAGCTTTAAAAAAATCAGTGCCGTGAAAAAAATTCTTGCCCAACAGGTTAAAGAATATTAACAAGTATTGATGACAAGTTGTGCACTGCTTACATACAGGGAGTCTGGTATAGTACACAAGATTTCCGCAGGATTTTAAAAATGATGGAAAAGCTGGGATATCAAGTAGAAAACAATTGTTGCTCAGAATTCAGTCTGTGTTAGATCCTAACTCCTGCACCTTGAAGAAGATATCACTTTAGTAGTCATATATTTTTGTGTTAAGGATTAATTTGATAATGTGATGTTGACATGAAGCTGTTTTTGAGAGGATAAAATACAACCCTTAAACTAGATTTGAAATTTAAAGTTTTAAGGGGTGAGATCTGAAACCAAGGAATATTGAGAAATAGTTTTAACAGATAAAACACTGAGTAGGTAACTCAGCAGTAGAAAGAAATGAACAGCCCTGGCCAGTGCGGCTGAGTGTCTGCCCTTGCATCAAAGGGTTTCGCGTTCGATTCCTAGTTGAGGGCAAGTACCAGGGTTACAGGTTCCATCCCAGCTGGATACCAACTAATGGATGTGTCTCTCACATGTTTATGTTTGTCTCACTTTCTCCCTCTTCTTTCTCCCTCCCCCTCCCACTCTCTCTAAAAAAAAATAAAAATTAATGGAAAAAATATCCTCCAGTGAGGATTACAATAAAAAAAAGAAAGAAAACAAAAAAAACAGAAACAAACAACTAATCCACAAAAATATTATGCTGAGTAAAAGAAACCAGACACAAAAGGGTGCAAGAGCAGGTCAGTGGTTGCCTGGGGCTCAGGGTGGGGGTGGGAGAGGATTGGCTGAGGAAGTTCAAAAGAAAGCTTTTGGGGTGATAGGAATAGTCTAGAACTCAGTTTTAGGTGTACAATCTAATGATTAGATATTTATATAACTTATGACTATAACACTTTCTGTCAATTGTAATTGAAAACAATATTGAATGATAAAAAAAAATAAAGCCCTGACAGGTTTGGCTCAGTTGTTAGAACTTAGACCTGTGGGCCGAAGGATCTAGAGTTAGATTTCCAGCCAAGGGCATGTACCTCAGCTGTTCATTCCCAGACCCTGACAGGGCAACCAATGGATGTGTCTCTCTCACATCAATATTTCTCTCTCTCTCTCTCCTCTTCCTCTCACTCCCTTCCCCTGTCTCTAAAAAATCAATGGGAAAAAATATCCTTGGGTGAGGATAAATAAAGACATCCAAGTCACAATAAAACAAACAAAACCTTCACACATGTGAGTTTATTGCAGGTAGAAAAGGTTTGCCTCATATTCTTTAAAATTTTTATTTATTGATTCATTTTAAAGAGAGAGGAAGTGAGAGAGAGAAACATTTGTTGTTCCATTTATTTATGCACTCATTGGTTGATTCTTGTGTGGGCCCTGATCAGAAATCAAACCCACAACCTTGGTGCGTTGGGACGATGCTCTAAGTGAGCTACCCAGCCAGAGGGACAAAGAACTTCCTTTTGTTTTATAATGAATTCTTTGCCAACACACACACACTCAGGAGAGGGCACATAAAAATGTTGGATTTCTAACTTAAGACTGTTAAGTTTTGAGGGAAGTTCAGGGAGCAGAGTGGACCCCAGTGGTGTGCTATCTGCAGAGTCTGTAATAGGAGGAGCACCAAGATCTATGAATTGTAAGGCAGGTTTCAAATTAATTTAATCCACAAATGTTTGTTGAGAAACTTGTCAGACACCCCACATCCCTAGAGAGACACTGATCATGCTTAAGCCAATTGGAAAAGTGAAACAGACAGATCAGAAGTGTTGTGAGAATTAAAATGAATGGAATGAGGGTGCTGTGGGGACATTGGGAGATATGGAGGAATTGACAATCACTGATAACAATGATATAAAACCCAACAAGAACAGGTATTCCATGGGGAATCCTATTTACTTGGTGGTTATCTCCATGGGTGGATGCGTGCACTAATGAATGAGAATTTTATGAAGATAAATGAGAAAATGAAGTGCTGGGCTCAATTCCTTCTCTCTACCTCCTCCCTTTCCCGCCCATCTCACAGTCCAAAAGGTCTTCATCAGATTTTTGGTTTGGACAGTAATGGAAGTAAATTCATAGTCTGAAGGAAAAGATTCAGCATCATCAGATCATGAGACCACGTTTAAAAAAATGTATTTTAGAACTAGACAACCTGGACCCAAATTCTGCTCCTCTACTTAGGTATGTAATTTCTGTAGGTTACGTAAAACGCAGATCCTCAATTTTCTCATCTGGGAAATCCTATCTAATAAAGAGGGAATATGCTAATTGACCCTCATGCTGTCACAAAGATGAAGGCATCCACAGCCAATAAGGAGGGAATATGCTAATTGACTGCCCTGCCCTCAAAGATGGTGGTGCCCACAGCCAATAAGGAGGGAATATACTAATTGACTTC